TTTTTCACACGGGGTGTCTTTTTTTTCTCTCTCTCTCTCTCTCTCTCTCTCTCTCTCTCTCTCTCTCTCTCTCTCTCTCTCTCTCTCTCGCAACAGTCTACGCCGCGCTGAATCTGTTGGGCCTGTATCACGACTCGATCTTGTATCGACTGCTGTCGCCCGCCAGCCAGCCTGCCACTTTCCTAAGTCGATCTTCAGGCAAGAGCGCGTCCGGCTCAGTGTCGGTGTCAGCAGGAGGAGCGCGCACATCCAGCGGCACCCTTTTGCAGCACACTCCATCGCCTCACGCCAGGTATACGCATCACTGGGCGGATCGCAGCTCGCTGTACAACCTCGCTGCTCGATCTTTGGTCGTCGTGACCTACACCGAGCTACTGGCAGAGATGATAGCTAGACGAAGGCTTGGCAAGCAAAAGGCGTGGGATGTGGTGGTGGGCATCGAAGCTGTCAAGTGGGTGTCGCGCTGTGATTGCGATCCTGCATGCTCACTTCGCTCCAGTAGTCCAAGATCTGACTCCTCGCACCACGCCCCTGTAGAGCTGCACTGCGGATCGCACTGCTTCGTCTCACAGGCTCCAGGCCTTCCATCCAGCCGCCCATCCCGGAGCGGGAGGTCGACCCTGCTATGCTAGACGAGCTGCCTGGTGGTGCTCGTACTCTGCGCGCAGCCGATGTTGGAAGCAGCACCGGCTTGCGCGCATCCAAGTGGAGAGGAGCCAAGACGGGTTTCGAAAGGCCGACATTGGCAAGTCTGCAGGCATCGAGGAAAGGAGATGTTTTCAGAAACAGCCTGAATGAGCCGGCTTCTACCAGGCCTGGGCAGCCGCGCATCGCTGCTTCGAACGCATTTGGAGCAGCGGGCGGCAGCAACTCTTCAAGCGGGGACAGCGATAGCGACGAGACGTTGGTGGAGAGTATGACCGAGGCGGACGTCAACGAATACTTGCTCAGCAGGACACTCAAGCCAAGCGATGTCAGACCTGCGGAAGAGCTCGTAAGACCGGTGGCGGGCAGAGAGGGATCGCTTGCAGAAGGGCTTTGGATAGCTCGGCCACTCGTCTACGGTGAGTCGCGTCTGCGAGCTACCGAAGACTTTCACATTCGTAGAGGTACTCTCCCAGCTGACCCGTCCTCCCTCCACGCCCACAGCTGTCGCACTGCGAAAGTATGGACGGAAAGCGTACTTGCCCTTCGTACTGTCTCTCTTGCTTGAATGGCTCGCGCGGACACTGCGACAACGGTCCCTCGCTCGCTCAGCCTCGCCCAAAAATCCTCTACTTGCCATGCTAGCCGGCGGCAATCCGATCCTGGCGCTCTTGACGGCATTCATTGGCGGAGCGCCCGATAGTCAGGCCATCAGTGATGTGGAGAGGGCAGAGTGGAAGAAGAGAGGTAGAGCTTTCTGGTGGTATTTGCTTAGGGGACCCGCTTGGGACGGATGGACTAGGTGAGCTGAATCGGGTCATGACGCTTTACGACAGGCGAAAGCTTCGACGCTAATCACTGTGCCATTACCCCTGCAGACCGAAGCTTGAACGTATCATCAAGGCAACACAGAACAGAGCCATACTCGGCATTGTTGGCGGAATTGTGAGTGTTCGCTTGTCCCGCCTCGGCTCAGCACTTTTGCTTAGATCGCTGCGCGTTGCCCACCTCTCGACTTGACAGATTGGTGACTACCTGCCCCTCATCGACGAGTACCATTTCTACAGCTCGACATGAGACTCTATACATGTGTCGATTATCTGTCATACGATGCATAATTGCCCTAGTCGCCCGTCACATTGCGCCAAATTCGTGAAACCTGGACAATGATCGCGACACGTCAGTTCAAGCGCGAAAAGGTAATGCAAGGACGCTTCAGCGCACGAGAAGGCTTTGATTTCTCAAGGTGACTTTGTGTTCCAAAAGGGGCTTTTTGACGAGATGGGGAAAGGCTGAGGACATAGTGCTGTAGCGCAGTAATTGAAAATGGTATCTGAAGCTGAAGCTGGGCAATCTCGGGCGACTAGGAGCAAGCAAGAGGGCACTCGTGCCTGGACAAGGGTGACATGGAGGCGCGAGAAGAATCTCAGATCAGTCCAAGGAAAGCCGGTGCGGATTGGTTGGCCTGGGTGCATAAGAGCTGTTGACAGTGTTGGCATCCTGCGCGAAGCCACTCGAAGGCGCGGCTGGTTCATCCAAGCTGATACGGTTCGAGGGTCCAGTGGTCTGACTTGTACCGTTGCCAACTTGCTTCATGTCCAACCTGGACGTGCGGCGTCGCTTGCCTCCAAAATGTCCCATATTGTCGTGCGCGTCCGCCAGACCCTTGCCAAAGTTGGCCATGCACCAGATCGCATTGGCAAGGGTCAAGAAGAGCGAGATGGTGGTGAAGATGCCGAAGAAGGTCAAGGTCAGGCGGACTGTGGCGTACGTGGGCCGGACAAACACCTGGACGATTTGGTAGATGAAGTAGGCTGCTCCTGCTATGAACGCAACGATGCAGAGCGCCATTATTGCCATCCATTCGCGTCGGACAGCGATGCCTGCCAAGAAGAGCACTGCCACAGCAATGGGCACGGCAGCGATCGTGAGCCCAAAGTAGGCATCGTCTCGCTGACTGACCAGAATCAGGTACGCGACTAAGCGGCCAATACGGCGATGGGTGCCTGTCAGCGTGGCCCTGAGGCGCAGGAATGCCCAAGACAATGCAGCTCACCTGTAAAGCCAACGCCAAGGAAGAAGTCAAACTTCAAGAGAACCTGGAATACCTGGTATACCAGAAATCTCTTTCTCTGCTCGATGGATGCTCCAATAGCCTTGTAAACTTGCCAGCCATACTCCTGCCAGAGCTTGTACGTGAGGAAAGTGAGGGGAACCTGCGCCAAGCCCACAATAATCGGCACGGCGATCAACAGCTTCTCGACAAAGGGAAACAGATCTCCAATGGCACTGCAGCGACGATTAGGTCTGTCTTCGCATTGGACGCCGATCCCTTGGTTATCCTGATACTGCAGCGCGTCTCTCACTTGTGAGATCTCCAGCGCCGCAGTGACGATCAGAGCGACGTTGAAAATGCAAACGCCCATGACTTGGATGGTATTCTTGAGGCGCTGAGCATCCAGCGAGATGCCGACCAGGAAGACTGCACCGAAGAGGAATAAAGCGAGGTAGACGGAGACGGTCTTGAGGCGCTGCACTTGAGTGCTGGTCCTGCTCTGGATGGTGCCATAGACGACAGCGACGAGGACGATGATGATCACGGCTTCGATAATGACAGTTGCCATGAACGCAGAAGCCCATTTGGAAGGGATCCACGCCCTGCCGTTGGCTGCACTGCTCTTTCCGCCCAGGCTTCGCGCGTTTGTCTCTCCAGTAACTGCAGATATCCCGCTCCTAGATCCAGCCCTGGCTCTTGGTGCTTGGCCAGCTGAGCTTGAAGGAGCGACACCATCCAGAATCCGAGTACCTCGAGGCGAGTATGAAGTACTCTCATCGTAGCTGTCCGGTGGGGGCGATGCGTAGTAGTACGCTGCGGCTTCTCCAGTTGGTGGCCGACCCGAGTGACCTGCATCTGCGGGTGCCAATGGCGTTGGTGGAAGAGGTCGACTCTGCCTGGCGCCCTGATCGCCTGCGCTCGCTGAATCTGCAACAAAGTACTGTGGTGACGAGAAGTCTCCAGGAGTTTGGACCCGAGGCAGCCTCTGATTGCTCTCGCTAGCCGTCGGTGCAGTTTCCGCAAGGCCACTTGTTCCGGCCGTGCCGGGACGAGGGCTTGCGTACTGCTGCTGATTGACAGTGTCAGAGGATGGCATGTTTCCTGGAGTTGTGTACATGCTCGCGGCACTAGAAGCCGCATAACCTGCTTGGGAAGGTGCGTACCCCGTCCCTGTGGGTGCGTAGCCTGACTGAGCGCCCGCAGTTCTGAAAGAGGTGGTGGATGGCCCATTGCCAGAGGTGTAGAAGGACGGCGCGGCTCCAGAGTGCCCTGCATCTGACTTTTCATAGCCTTCGGCATCGTGCGGTGCATGCAGATGAGCCATGTTGGCTAC